CCCTTACCTACATTATTCTATCGACTAGAGGCTGTTCACCTTGGAGACCTGCTGCGGATATCGGTATGAACTGGCTCGAAATTCAAATAGCCTCCCTCGGATTATCATGGGTTGAACAAAGCATACGAGACACCACAGGAACCTTGGCGCTTTACGGAAACAACGTCTCTATCTCCGGCTGAATCGATTCCAGGGAGTCTGTTCCAATGGCTCATTCTTCGAGTGTTGCTTATATGCAGATGACGGAGTAGGCTCCCTGGTTTATGTCTGTAAAACCAATATGTATTATGTTCTGGTAAAAAAAAGCGGTTCAATTTTTGTTTCGATGCTGTGATCATGATTGTACACCGAACACCGTTGATAGCAGAAAACTGGCTAATGGTGAAATGTCAACTTTTGTGCGGTATTTTTCGTTAAAAAAATGCATTTGCAGCAACCGAATGGCCGCAACTGAATCGGCCCACACATATCATCCAAATGGACAGAAATTTATTATCAAATCGTTTCATCTTATTCTCCGAAATAACTACAGAAGCCGTATTTTCGCTTGATGACGACATTACAGCACTTAGCGTTGATGAAATCGAATTCGCTTATCAGGTTCGATTGCTTTTTTTTTTATTTCATTTCGCATCGTTCGTTATTAGACTTGTTATGCGTTTTTTGCAGCTATGCAATGCAAAAACGCATATTGGGGTTGTCTGTGTGTCCGTGTATCTGTGTGTACATCTGTTACACACTTTCATCTCAAGACCTATAAAATCTACAGGGCTGAAATTTCGGGAGCTTAATCTATATGCATGGGCCGGCCGCAATCCCCAAAATGGACGCCATCATCCTTGCGGTTCCCGCATACGGGCCCGCCAAAGTTTTTTTTGGGTAAGTTCATAACTCCGGGATCTGAAAAGCTAGAAAGCTAAAATCTAAGGGTGATGTTCCCCGTCCAAGTAGGTGATAATGCACTGAAACCCATCCCCCGGGTAAGCGTGGTACTCGCGTGAGGGCCTGCCAAAATCTTCTTGAGTAGGTTGCTAACTCGAGAACGTGAGAAGCTAGAAGTGTTAGGAAACATCTCCTCAAAATTCCAGTCTGGATTTTGAGGGGATGTTTCCTAACACTTCTGGCGGCCAGTCTGAAATTCTTTTAGCTAGAAGCATTTGCCAAAAAAACCAGCGCTATTGGCGACAGAAATCTGCGGGGAGCTATGCAAAAAACGCATCTTCGCACGGGCAGCCCGTGCTTGGCTCATTATTTTTTTATTATCGTTGCATATTTATGCCAATACTAGCAATAAAAGTTGAGAAAGATGTCAAAAAAAAATAAAAACGTGAATCCAGTTGTAACTTAATCTAACTTAAATGTGAATCTAACTTCTTTCCAACCTCTTTAAAATCTTATTTTAAATCTTGTTTTCTGTTTTGTCTATTCCTTCTCCTCATTCTCACTCCTCCTCTAATCCCACAGTCATAGCCCTTCCCCTTCTTTCCTTGAGTCTCTCTCTTTACCTTTCTCTTTCCTCTTTCTTTTTCATTATACACTGCGACCGTCATGCTGCTGCGAGGTCCAGTCGCGGTGTTGAGTTAAGACGTATATGACTTAATGGACTGAAATATCTTGCCTCTCTCCTGCCTTCTTTTCTTATACTGTTCCATGCTTTCTGTATTCATTTGCGCCTTCGATACTTCGGCTTCCAGAGTCAACCTGGATGCTACAACCGGCTTATAAAATCAGAAGGATCTTGTAAAATCAGAAAAATCTTCACCTAACTTCCTTCTATTGAAGGACAAGGTAGAAAATGATGAAATGGAAAAAAAAGGGAAGGAAAACGAAGTGAAAAAGAAGGGAACTCTTAGCATTATGAATAAAGTATTCATTTGTTGCTGATAAACCATGTTATAGTGACAAGTAATGCTACTTTCGTGCTGAAGGTTGAGCGTGCAATTCTGCCAAAGGGACAACCCCTGAGAGGAGGTTTCTCTTCGATTCGTTGATTCGTTTGATGGTAAATTGGTAATTGCATGTCTGGAAGTCAAACCCGTCGTTTACTTAGTTTTTGACCACTTTAAATATATGTCAAAGTTTTTTCACGGGTAAGTTAACATCTCGGGAACCACGGAGTCTAGGAGGCTGAAATTTTAGGGTGATGAGCCCCTGCCCACGGCTCATCCTTGCCCATTCAAATTCAGCGTTCCCGCGCTCTAGGGTGCCACCTACGGGT